TTTATTCGCAGATTTCTTCAAAATGTCGTCTTCACAATTAAAATAAAGAAAACCTCCAAGAAGTGACCCAAAGTGAATTTATATAAACCTGCCAGATTTTAGAATTAATTTCAAGAACTTATTTTCAATGATATAGGTTCAATACTTTTCTCAACCTGTTCCTATACAGGGCATTTGTTTGTAAAATCATTTCTTCTCCTGATAAAATAACAGCTATAAAAATCGACTTTACGCTCTTATTTAAAAGTTACACACCATAAAAATATCTCATTGGTATCAAATGTATTATACTGCATTCTCAGTTCGAATATGTTACAAGTTTCTCCCATTATAAAGAATATCCAAGAACTGTCTTTTTAGTTTTCAAAAATACAGCTCACGCTGATTTAGCAGTACGGTCCTTGTCCAGGCAAGCATAGACCAGAACGTGATTGAATTCAAATAGAAGAAACCGAACAAATCTAGCCCATGGTTAGTCCGGAGTGGGTTCAGATATCGGTTATTTTAGACAGCCATGGTTTCTAACAATTTTGCACATTAATAAACCTCAGGAATTGTGTCCTTGACACAAAATTCATATTAACTATTCCCTATATCTTTGCAACCTGATGGTGTAAATTTTTGATATTTCAAGCTTATTGATGATTTGATATAATAGAAAGAAAAGTTTAAAATATCCAAGGTTTACGACATTGGGATGCAAAGATATATGGATTTGAAAATCAGAATTTGTGGCAAAGACTCAATTCCTTTTATTCTACATTTGTCATTTATGTCTATAGGCTACTTTAATTCTACATTAATATATATTGGCTACTCTAATTTTACATTAATATCTATGAGCTACTCTAATTCTACATTAATATCTATAGGCCACTCTAATTCTACATTAATATATATAGGCTACTCTAATTCTAAATTAATATCTATAGGCTACTCTAATTCTACATTAATATCTATAGGCTACTATAATTTTACATTAATATCTATAGGTTATAAGATATAGTTTATTGCTAATAATACACATACAAGTTATAATGTTACAGGCAAAAAATCTGCAACTATTTTTATATTTTTTACTATATTTCTGTAATTATAGCAATTAGGCGGAGGTTAGCTATTTGCTGTTTTAGGTATTATCCCCACCTAATTAATATTAAAACGTTTACAATATGATGAATATTACTAGGTTTTAAAAGTTTACAATAAGTCAGGGATTATTAGTTAAATTTAGAGAGACCGAGGTACAGCATAACAAAATAATTGATTTTTCAGTTTTAAGTTTAGTACGTTTAACAGAATAAGATTTAGCATGTACAAAAATCTACAAAGTTCTATATTCATTTTTTGCAAGAATAACAAAAGAGTTTATTGCACTTTGAGATGTAGGCGTCAGATAACATTTTAAATAAACTTTTAAAAATTTACAGGCTACTCTAATTCTACATTAATATTTATAGGCTACTCTAGTTCTACATTAATATCTATAGGCTACTCTACTTCTACATTAATATCTATAGGTTACTCTAATTCTACATTAATATTTATAGGCTACTCTAGTTCTACATTAATATCTATAGGTTATTCTAGTTCTACATTAATATTTATAGGTTACTCTAATTCTACATTAATATCTATAGGCTACTCTAATTCTACATTAATATCTATAGGCTACTCTAATTCTACATTAATATCTATAGGCTACTCTAATTCTACATTGATATCTATAGGTTACTCTAATTCTACATTGATATTTATAGGCTACTCTAATTCTACATTAATATTTATAGGCTACTCTAATTCTACATTAATATATATAGGCTACTCTAATTCTACATTGATATCTATAGGTTACTCTAATTCTACATTAATATCTATAGGTTACTCTAGTTCTACATTAATATTTATAGGCTACTCTAGTTCTACATTAATATCTATAGGTTACTCTAGTTCTACATTAATATCTATAGGTTACTCTAATTCTACATTAATATCTATAGGTTACTCTAATTCTACATTAATATATATAGGCTACTCTAATTCTACATTAATATCTATAGGCTACTCTAATTCTACATTAATATCTATAGGCTACTCTAATTCTACATTAATATCTATAGGTTGCTCTAATTCTACATTAATATATATAAGTGCTCTAATTTATACAATCTCATTGTACGTTCTGCAATTATAAAGGAATTGAGTCTTTTGTCACAAATTCTAATCCCTAGGTTTAATAATCTAAGTTGAAATATCAAAGGTCTACATCATCAGGTTGCAAAGATATATGTAAAAGAAAATTTGAGTTTTTGGCAAAGACTTTATTCCTTTGCCTGTTTATTTCAGGGTTAAAGTAAACTATAAACAGAGAAAGAATAAGAAAATGCAATAAAATATAAATCATGCATGGTTTATTCGATTTTATTAGATATAATACAAAATATAAAACACAATTTGTCATATAATACCTTTTTGTATGGGAATTCTGTGCCACATACTCAAATTTTCTTATCCCTATAATTTTGCAATCTGGATGCATGTAAACTTTTAATATTTCCAACTTTGTAGACGTTAGGTATCAAACTAGGATTTCTGTTAGATCAGAGCTGAAAACTGAATGGTGGATATTGAGATTAATGCTAGATCCTCTCTTTTTCTTTATATCGAGACTAACTTAATCTTGTACTTGTATCCTGAAAAGTGTATAAAATTCAACCAATCAGAGTCGCATATATGAAGCCGATAAAGGAATTGAGTCTTTGGAACAAAATCAAATATTTAAACCTCAATATCTTTAGAACTCAATGTTGTAAACCTTTGATATTTCAAACTCAGATTATTTGATCTAACAGAATTCATAGTTTGAAATATCTAAGGTCTGCAACATTTGGTTCCAAAGATATAGTGATTAGAAAATCAGAGTTTATGGCAAAGACTCAATTCCTTTGCAATTTTGCACGCCATTCAAGACTAATATACAGAAACAGGAGGGACTTTCTAAATTAAAACACCGGTTTTTGGTTTCTCTACTAAATCCAAGAAAGAACGGTTTAAGAAGAAAATCGAAAGTGTGTCCGTTGGATACTCAGATTAAGTAATCGGGATTAAGGATATCTTATTCTAAAGTTTTCTGCTCAGATTATCTAAGTTTAAAAAATCAAAGGTTTAAACCATCAAGTTTCAAAAATATAGGGCTTAGAAAAGAAAATTTAAGTTAATGAATCAAGTACGTCGGGATTAAAAAGTCGATGGTTTAAAAATAAAGTTTGAGCAGAAAGTTTCTTCCAAATTCTTTGCCGACAAATTTATCTGAATTTTACATGAATCTTGTCTAGAAATTATTTACTTAATATGACTTTAATTATCTTTTTGGTAGGATTAGGAAGGTACGTTTTGTACATTGTGAACATTATCAAAATATACACGCATAAAGATAGACTAGCTAGGGAACTCAGCTATGTCTTCAGTTTTCCCTATAAAAGTTAATGAGTTATGATCAGATATCGAAACAACCGAACCAAAAAAAAAAGCATGCATAGATTACTACTTTAGAAATTTAAATATATCTATGTATATAGTGGTTGTCAGAATAAAATGGGATATGAAGAATCAACCTAAAATCTAAAATCATGTTTTAACGGCAACACTGCGTTACAGTTTCCCGTGTAATTTATGTTTTGTTTTAAATTAATTCTAACAAAAACTTTGTTATGCAATTCTTTTTTACTTTATTATTGTGGTCCCTTGTAACAATAATAGCTATATCAGCATCATGTATTTAATAACTTTTAACGGTTTTAGATAGCTTAGGAAATAAAAATCTTAATTCTTATATACTTCAAGTAAATAATGACATCAGCAACGATTCAATTTCAATTTTTCTAATAATTGCTTTCGCAACATTTTATAACAGGAGACTTTACCACACAAGACTAAGCTTGTGGCGTAGGTCAAATAGGCCTGTGATAGGCAGGGTATTGTAAAAAGTGTGGCCGCCCCATGAAAGTTTAAAAATGAGCCGATATAGGGGCGGGCCGGTACTTGCTGCGCGTCACTAAGGCCGGTACAAGGAATCGGTCCGGTTCGAATTCAAATTGACCCCTGTCTACTGTGTTACGGCATAGACGAGTAAACGAGCGCGTTGAATAATTTGAAATAAAGACATAGTTTTTAATTTGATTAGAAAATAAACGACTCTCTGAGATGAAACGTTATTTTCAAAATTTAATTTTCAATTTGAAAAAAAACAAGGTTATCCCAATCATTTTGAGATGTATACTTTTAAATGAAAGGTCACACTAAAAAATTCCACAGAAAGGCTACGTTCTTTTAAAATCCAGTTTTGATGCTCAGGGATTGGAACTACGGATGATGTATATCTATATTATCGTTGGTTGAAGCTTATATATACCAGACGTTTTAATAATACACACAACAGATCTTATATATATATATATATCAGACTTGAAAGAAAGCAGTCAACCCTGAAATTAGCTTGTTTACAAACATTGGAAATTATTAAAAATGGAAATGTGAAAATATTTTTTAACATAAAATATCCAAAGTTAAGATGCAAGGAATTGAGTCTTTGCCACAAACTCAAACAACCTTTGATATTTCAAACTTAGATTATTTGATCCATCAAAATTCATGGTTTGAACTGGGTTGGGAACATATAAGGATTAATATCAGAGTTTGTGACAAAGACTCAATTCCTTTGATATGTACTGTACTTTCATCCTCTTGTACAGTGTACACTTCATCTGCATGTAATTGTACAGTTGGGTCTAAAGGAAAACTATTATCAATATTTAGCAGATGTTATAAATTCATTATATATCTAATCTGCAAACTTTCATTTTGTTGGCTTACAGGGCTTTCAGGGAATTATTGATGAAAGCTGCCGGGGGGGATTTACATACACTGTACATACACTTTACATACACTTTTCATACACTGTTCATACACTTTACATACAATTTACGTACATATAGTTCTCTATGTCTCTAGCCACCTTTGCTGTCTTTGATATATATTTCTTGGGTACATCGTACACTGTACATAATGATGATTTAATAGGTAAAAGTACAGAGTGAGAGGGCTTTTTTATGGATTCTTTTATTTACAACTTTAGCATTACAGATTTACCTTGAATAATCCGGGAGAAAATACTGCAGTTTCCAATTGCAAATTGAGAATGGTAAAAAGAGATATTTTAGGATAAATATATGTCTTCTCATTTATTTCAAGCCAATTCAAATTAGAATGCAACTTAAACCCGGAATAAAGGAATTGAGTTTTTGCCACAAACTCTGATTTTCTAACCCTAAATCTTTTCAACCCGACGTTAGACCTCTGATATTTCAAACTATGAATTCTGTTAGATCAAAATGATCTAAGTTTGAAGTATTAGGTTGCAAAGATATAAGAATTAGTAAAGGGGATGGTGGAGATGTCCTATTTGATGTACATGCAGACCTAATAAGAGAGTTTTTTTCAAAAAATAAAATAAAATTGGACACTTATAACCTCGAATTACCTCTAATGACCTTTAATGACCTCGACCAATAAAAAATGTTTCAACTATGGCTTCATGCATATCAATCGAAAGTCAGGAACCCAGGGAATACAATAGCAACAATAAATCCAGTGGTTGGCCTTCTACTGACCTCTAACGACCTATAACAACCTCTTACGACCTCAAAATTGAAAATGTTTTATCTATGGCTTTATGCATATCAAACGAAAGCTAGGAACCCAGGCAATACAGAAGCAGCAAAGAATTCAGTGTTTGACCTTCTAATGACACTCATGGGTGGCCGGGGGGTGTTTTAGGCTAAAAAAATCGAAATAATAAAAACATTCTAAATTTTTTTTCCACGGGCAACGCCGGGCCCTTCAGCTATAGTCTATATAATAAAACAAGGCATTCGTATATAAATATATATGTTGCCTATAGCCGGCCAAACGGCTGGACCGAATGGGCTTAAATTTTTTGTGGACACTCATGGGTGGCGGGGGTGTTATAGGCTAAAAAGTCGTTTTTTTTAATTTCCACGAGCAACGCCGGGCCCTTCAGCGCTAGTATAATAAACATTAAGACATTCGTATATACTTTCTCTATAGCCGGCCAAACGGGTGGACCCAATAGGCTGACATTTTTTGTGGACCCTCATGGGTGGCCTGGGGGTGACAAAGGCAAAAAAAATCGATTTTTTATTTCTAATTTTTTATTTAAAAAAAAATAATATATAATAAATTATAATTACAATAAGTGGTTACTATTTTAAAATGGATTCATCATAGGATAAAAAAGCCCCAATTCTTAAAAAATACTTTCTTGAATGAATTAATTTTGTATCATAAAGATAGAGCGTTTGATGATAAAATTTCAGTTTTTGTAATATTTTATATTTGTTTATTTACTGGGGGAAGTGGTTTTATGCACTTAATTATAAACTTAAACTCATCTCGTAGAAATAAGAGGATTTAGGTTAAACTCTTATAAATCTATAAATCTAGAACCTGCTGAGCTAACACAACTCTCCGAGCTTGCAACCAGGACGGAGTACTCTACCAGGAAGGAGAGCAGAGACAGGATGGAGTACTCTACCAGGAAGGAGAGCAGAGACAGGACGGAGTACTCTACCAGGAAGGAGAGCAGAGACAGGATGGAGTACTCTACCAGGAAGGAGAGCAGAGACAGGACGGAATACACTACCAGGACGGAAAGCAGAGACAGGACGGAATACACTACCAGGACGAAGAGTAGAGACAGGACGAAAGCAAGTTTAATCCTAGGTTCACTGCCTACTGTTTTAAGGCAACGGAGAGAGATTGTGGCCAAGGAAATTCTTGAATATTTATTATTCATTCTTTAGTTTCCGTTTATTCTGAAACAAGGGACGTAGAGGGGAGAAATTATTTGAAACTATCCGAGGAATAGTATTTCCTCTATTTAAATTACTAAAATGCTGATCAGTAAAAGATAAATCTATTTTCTATTATTTTTCAACAATAAGCCTCGTATTTGGCAACATTGAATTCAGCTTCACTTAGTTTTAAAAATATTAGTCCTTTGCAGAGCTAACGGAACTTCAAGATTATTTCAAAACTACATATTTAGTTTTTCTGTTGGAGGTAATGAATTGATGGCTTTCATTCTGTTTTACCCATGCAATTTAGTCGGGGAAAAAGAAGGTTTTAGATAATCAATAATTATATTCTGAATTATCCTTCATTCATCTTGTTTGGACACCTTCCACAGTCTTAACGGCTGATCTGATCAGGCTTCAAATTACTTTAAAGAAGGTTATCCGGTCACAATTAAAGATGGCATTGCTTAAAAATCAATCTTTTATTTTGTTATTTAGTTTACAAAATCGTCGCAGGTAAATTAACATCTGTAATCTGTATGTGTCTACGAAATTTTTGTTAAGATTTTTGAAAAAACCCCAGACAGAAACTGTAAGGAACTACTAGTGATTTATTATTCAGTAAAGTGCATTTCCTTCCTCCCCCCTCTTCCCCGTTAGTTTTTGTATGAGAAAGAATTAACCCCCCTTCCCGTTCCTCTTTGTTAAAATAAAATACAAAATTGTTTATTTCGTTGTTTTATAGTTGCCTCAGAGTTTAATATCCTTCAAATAAATTTCAAGAATCGTGTCTAAGCTTTTTTTGAAAATTTAAAAATAAATCCTTTTGTCGTATGAATTCCTTCTATTTTGATTGGAAAGAACTATGGTTTAATGTCGCACATTTAAACATTTAACTTTTTATTTATTTATTGTTATATAAAAAGAAGAGAAGCTTGCGAAAATAACTGTTATCCGTCATTTAAACCACATCAAACAGAGGTTGAAGGACCTTTAATACTTTATTTTTCAGAATGTAAATAACAAATGTCTTCGCAATACTAGAAATCAGTAAGATAATGATCATCTTTTAAAATTTTTTGAAAAATTATAATGGTGTTATCACAACAACAAAAGAAAATAGGGGTTTAAAATGCTGTCAATAAGCCTGAACTTAAATTTGCGATGGTTTTTTATCAAATGTGCTTTTAAGAGCCCCGCTCCTTTTTTAACTTCCTTTGGCTCTCTATCTATCTTAGCCTAACCTAACCCGTGGAATGTGTTATCAAGGGAGGACGAATATAAATTAAAAAATAATAATTGTTAAATATTCCTGGATTGTGTGAAGGGAGGAGAGGTGGAGAGGTTTGGTATATTCCTGAGCAGGAATAATACCCTGGTAGAAACCCATCTCGGAGCAGAGGTTCGATTAAACTGCAGGATTACAAGGGACTCAGAGTATGGAACGGTAAATATTAAAATCTATTAATATTTTCATATTTTAGTTTGTGAGTTTCAAACGAAGCTAAAACAGCATAATCGTACGAAACCAAATTAGCGTTGGACCTGATATTGCCCTTAGTGTAATTTTAGAGGTGAAAGGGTGTGATAGGTCCAAGCAGATTTAACGGTTTGGTCCGTTTCCCAAAATATTTCCGTAAGCTGAAAGATTAATAAATTTAGACCAACACGCGATTAAATTAAAATAAAATATTAAATAATTCAATTTAGCAAAAAAATATTTTTATAAGTCAGTCAAGGTATTAAAAATAATATCTGTTGCTGTTCTATACTACGCATTTATCTAAACAACCCCTTATTACCGGGCACTTCTTTTAAAAATATTAAACATATAATCATAAATTGGATTAACATAGAAATGTAACAACTCTAATTTAATAATTTCATTTTGATATTATCAAAATAAATTAAATACTTTTTAACCATTTGCGAAACATAACATTTCATGAATGGAAAATCAAACTATGAGACAAACACCGGAAATTTTTCTTTTTTATTTCTCTTAACTTTATTTTCCAGGGTTTTCAAAGGGAACGATTGTGTTTTTTTCCTTCAACTGTAAACTTGTTTCTTTCATTGCCAAATCATTAAATATACAATGGAAAGAATATGTAAATTTTTTAAAGCAGAATTTAAAAATCAAACTTCAAAATGTTATGTTAAAATATGGCATTTGCCATATTCTGTTGTGCGCGGTTGCCCCGTGGAGTTCCGGGGCGGAGAGAGGGGGATTGAATTTTGTAGATCCAGAAAAATAATATCTGTGGGATGCCTACGTAGAGACTTGCAGCTGGTGGGGTATTAAATGTAAGACATGTGGCCGCAGCGCTCGGCCCCTAGCCTGTTCTAGCCGCAGCGCTCGGCCCAGAAAGTGTCATAACATAACCTAACCCGTGGCCGTAGCGCTCGGCCACCTATCCTGTCCTAGCCGCAGCGCTCGGCCAAGTAAGTTTCTTAACCTAACCTAACCCTAAATAAATACTAATGTAATTATTTTTCTGGATCTACAAAATTCGGTCCCCCTATCTCAATTTGGGAGTTTTGCGGGGCATTTGCGCACAACAGAGAATGGCAAATCCCTTAAAATATCTTCTTTGCAGTCTAGTCCTATGTGAGTTACTCAGACTCTGTACTTCGAAAGATAGGAAAATAGAAAACTAAACAAATGCACTCTTTTTTGATTTATTCTAAACTCTAGTATTCTTATTTATTCTCTCCTGTCTTGTAGAACTATTTATCAAGATGAAAGAATAAGATATGTAAGTAGGAAAGCTTTATACAATGTGTCCATGCAATCTAGAGATATGAGGCATTGTCGGGAATTTTAAAATGAAATAAAGAACAAAAATCAAAGAAAAGGATGTCGGCATCAGAATATTTTCGATAGAGAAAGTTTAAAAGATACAATATATGGTTGGAGGGGGGGG